CCATTTAAGGCTTGAAGTGCAAGCGAGAGCGCGCAACGAGCGACAAAGAGGAACATTGTAAAAAAAAATTGACTTAATTGTATTTATGCGTACAAATAAATGTAACTTGATCAATTCAATAGTGATTTCAATTTACCTCCTTCTCTATATCCATACAAAATATCTATCAAACAAATAAAATTAAAATTTTCTTTTGAAAAATGAAACCATTCCATCAGTATTTTCTTATGACGTTGTCACGTTCAACTATCGTCAGTAAACCGACTTTAGAGACAACCGATTTTTTTTTAGGATTTAAAGATTACTGGTGGCCCGGAGGCATTTCCAGTTTCACCAGGACAGGTGGGCGTGTAAGGCTCAGCCAGGAGGGGTGGGATTTGCTAACAGCTGCCCGAGCGCCCCCGAAGGAGACCTAACAGCTCAAGAGCAGCTGCTTCGCGAGTGAATCTACTACCAGATCGGAATCGCGACCTGCTGAGAAGAAGTTGAAGAAGAAGAAGACCATTGAAGTCTTAACCTCTCGAGGACGCGGCTCGGAGAGTGTAGATTGAAAACTTACGAGTTTATTGTTGTTGAATCGCCTGACAAAGGTACAAGCTGATTTCCGCTTGAACATCATTGAAGTCTTAACCTATCAAGCTACCGAGGCTTTATCTTATATCTTTAAACGAGCAATTCTTGTATATAAATATATACATATATATATATATATATATATATATATATATATATATATATAATCTGAATCTAGGAAACGGCTCCAACGGTTTTCATAAAATTTACTATGCAGGGGATTTCCGGGGCGATAAATCGATCTAGCTACGATTTATTTTCAGAAATTGTTGTTTTATTCGTGTTTTCAATAATTAACTTGATCGATAATTTTTATATTTTTCTTTAAATAACCAGCTCATATATTTTTATTATTCTGTCGGTAAGATCGAAAAATATTATTCGTATTTCATCATTTTATCAATATGTAATTCATATTTAAATATAATTTCTAAAACAACACAATTCATCAACAAAAAAAAGAGGTCATTATCTAGTAAGTCAGTTATAATAAAAGGGCTAAAACGCCAATTAACAGTTTGACAAATTTAAAGCTTACTGCTTAAAGAATTCGCATTAACGTTAGATATAGGCGGTGGTACCTACTCGTGCGGGCCTTACGACGCGTTACCACATTCAATCAACCTGTGATATCCATGGAATCCGGTAATCATTTCACACCAAGCTCGTCTCAAGCGGCCGATATATATAATAAAAAAAACATTAAATCTTGGATGGATTGTATTGGCAATACATCATGACACGTGTAAAAACTATTTTTAATATTAACTAGCGGCCCGCTCCGGCTCCGCTCCGGCTCCGCTCGGGTCTTTGACAAAAATTTCAACGATATTTGACGTTGTTTTTTTTTTAAATAAAATAACACTTATTGCGGCATAACTATAATAGTTAGACATATGCCGTTGCGATACTTTTTGTAAATAATAATGTGTTCTACAAGGTCGTAGTACATTATTTTATTCTATCATGAATAGTTTTCACAGCGCACGTGATATAAAGAATACTTTAGGTAATTTTTTTACACCTTCGGTTACATTATTGGAGTTTTGGTACGGATCCCTAATTTTTTTCAAAAAAGATTATAGCCCATGTCACTCGGGAATAGTGTAGCTTCCAAACAGTGAAAGAATTTTTCAAATCGGCTCAGTAGTTTCGGAGCCTATTCAGTACAAACAAACAAACAAATCTTTCCTCTTTGTAAAATTATAGCTTAGATAACATTACTTTAAAGATAAAACATTGCGTTCTGTGTCGAACCCGATAACTCGTTACCAAAAATCTTCTCAAAAGACTAACCGCCTTCAATAAAACGAAAATGCAAATTGAACTTGTGCTGAGCATGAAAACTTTTACTTGTAAATTACGAAATTATACGAGACACGAATCTTTATGTATTTAATTAGCGTAACACATTACTGGTACTATGTACCCCAGCCGGAGAGTTGGGATCGAGAATGAAAACATTGTAGTACTTAGGAATATTTTGACTGATTCGGTGGTGCAGTGGTTAGCGCTCCTGACTGTTGCACCGATGGTCGTGAGTTCGATTCCCATATCGAGCAAACATTCGTGTGATGAACAGCTTTGTTTGCTCTTTGTCTGGGTATTTATTATCTATATACAGCTGCGAGCTGGGTTTGTGGTAAAGAAAAAAAAAACTTTCGAAGTACAAATTAAAACTGTATTAACACTTAGAGCACTTAACGAACACTTTGAAATTCTCAATTCGCTTCGAGTAGTTCGGATTACTGACTGACTGCGTGTCATCTCTGCAACGCTTTTATAGTCGAGACGACATCCCTAGATTTATTGAGAAAATTCTGGGCAAGTCGAGTAGCTTCGACGTGTGTTTCTGCTATCTGACAATAGATGGCGTTGCTCTTACCGGCGTAGCAATACACATAAGTATTTAAATGTATATAAGTGTTTATATCACTTTCCTATACTCAAAACACGTCCTAATTTGGAACCGGAAGACTGTGGGTGATTTGCTCCCAAATAATTTCCTATTAATACGCCGTATGAGATGTCGCAAGATCACTAAAATAATGGCAGTCTGTCTTTCGCCAGCCTTTTAGGACCTCTTGTGAGTGAGTCCGCACGGGTAGGTACCACCACCTCGCCTATTTCTTCCGTGAAGCAGTAATGCGTTTCAGTTTGAAGGGTGGGGCAGCAGTTGTAACTATACTGAGACCTTAGAATTTATATTTCAAGGTGAGTGGCGCATTTACGTTGTAGATGTCTATGGGCTCTAGTAACCGCTTAACAACCGGGTGGGCTGTGAGCTCGTCGACACAACTAAGCAATAAATTAAAAAAAAATTGGCGTTAGTCACATGGAAATGTGATCGGTTTGATTAAGCAATGAATATTTCCCGAGTATCCCATGTCACCTGCTCGCGTACATCTGGAGCATGGAGGCGATATAAGCCATTGTAAACTTGAACTTCGCATTATTGTGTGAACGGTAACTCTGAATGGAGCATTTTCATTTTCTAGACGTGGTATCCGGCGGTCATGATTCATCATCACGGATTTATTTTTTATTGCTTAGATAGGTAGACGAGCTCACGGTCCACCTGGTCTTAGGTGGTTAGTGGAGCCCATAGACATCTACAACGCAAATGCCACCACCCACCTTGAGATAAGAGTTCTAAGGTCTCAGCATAGTTACAACGGCTGCCCCACCCTTCAAACCGAAACGCATTACTGCGTCATGGTAGAAACAAGCAGGGCGGTGGTACATACCCGTGCGAACCCTCAAGAGGTCCTGTTTAATATTGAATCTAATTAAAAATTCACTGGGAATATTGTTTGATTGAGAATGCACTGGTTCTGGACACTTAGTTTATTGTAATAAGTTCACAATTATAATAATACAAATAGAGCACCACAAAACACGTCTAGCTTGTTCAATGACCAGGAACGAAGAAGACCGAGACAGAGAATGAAATATAATATATTATCAATTCATTAGAATAACTAGCTAACTAGCAGCCTGAAGGATGGGTGACAGAAACAATAAAACTTCGACATCAAGGTGAACATCGACATTCACGTTGTGTGGATATCTGTGGACTCCGATAACCACTGAACACCAAGTGAGCTGTGTGCTCGTAAATTCAACCTTGGAATTAAGCTATTTAGGTAAGTTTTCTACGATGATTCTACTTAGTGAATGTAATCCAAAGTTTTTACTTGCAAAATTTTTGAAATCTGTTGTAAAATCTCATTTGAATTTAGTATTGGTCGAGGAAAGCCAATGCATTATAATATTTTGACATACATAAGCTTTTGGACAAGTAAATAGTTCCCAAATTTTTCAACAGATGGCAGTGTTACATTTTTTTTTTGCTTCTTGATTTTCGTGTAACTTATTAATATGCGTATTCCGTGTAATAGATATTAGTTATAATGATGTCAATTTGTAAAATTCAAGGGAATTTATAAAATATAGATCCAGTTATTTGCTAATTTACTTTGAAGTATTTTACATCATTATAATACAATTTAGCGTCTGTGAAAAAATATAATACAAATGTGGAAAAATGGAACAAAGCCACTGGACGTAGCTTCTTGGGTTTTCCCAAAAAAAGCCCACTTGAAAAGTCTCAGTAAATAGCCAACATTTTACTGAGACTTTTTTCATCTCATCTCATCTAGTTTCATTTAATAAAATAATTGAAAAATATTATTGAGAACTTTTTTCTATCAATTGCCTTGCACTGCACACGTCAAATTAGACTGTCTACTTTCCCTAGTGTATTATTATGGATTATGTTAAAGCTTATAATCATTTAACATAATAATGGACACTACAAATTCTCTAGATTATACTTATACTTATGAATAGGAACAGCTTCTAACATCCTCTACAAAACAAAACGAATTACTGCTTCACGGTAGAAACATGCTCTAGAATAGTAGCAGCACATGCACTAACCTAGAACTTAGTATTCAATTAGTTGAGAACATTGTTATTATTGGCAGCGGAGTGGAGCATGGAATACTCTGTCAGACAAATACTCTAGACCCTCGTCTTAGATTACTAGACTATTATCTGTAGAGTTATCGAACTAGGATGTAACCTAGATGTCTGAATGCGCGAAGATTACTGCCTAACTGTATCCATCTCAGGACGGTCAGCGAGAACGCTCGCACCGGCCGCAACAAACTGACGATCACGATACTAAAAAACCTAGTTCCGTTCCACACAAGCAAACCAATAAGGCACACATCAGTTAATATCCTCGTGTGCACACGGCTGAATGCACCAGCCACTGCACGCTCTAAAAGATTCATAGATAAGTGCAGTTTCCCGGTGAAAATAGATAAATGGTGGTGCTCGTATATTTTCTTCGCATATCGTTTGTCGCTGGCGACTGGATTGGACATTAGTAGTCGGACTCAAGCGGTTACAACGTCGCAATGCTGTGCCGCGGGTTCGTCCTCTGCCTCGCCGTAGCAGCCGTCACCGCTGACACCCTCACCAGCTTCAAGATCCTAGATAAAATAAGTGGACAGTGCGGGAAATACCCTTCAAAGGATATCCTCACTTGTTTTAAGTTCCAAGCTGCTAAGTTCGTAGATCGAGCGGCCAGATTGGAGTCTCTGCCGATTGCCGATGGCGTCACCTTAGTACGGAGACCGGAAGCGGAAAGAGCGTTTCCCTCTTCATCGCCGGAAGGAGATTTGAATTCTTTATCATCTGACCAAGTGGACAAGTATTTACAGGATGCGACCTCGAAGTTGATGCAGACGCATCGGGTGGTCATTGCCCCTCAGACCTTTGGAGAAGACGTTGGTAGATCTATCAATGAAGCTAGAGGCAAGCTGAAGAAGATGATGGGGCCAATTATCGCTGGTCTTGCGATCAAGGGAGGCTTCGTAGCGATTGCTTTCCAAGCAATAGCTCTTATCGCTGGAAAGGCGCTGCTCATAGGAAAAATCGCTCTACTGCTGTCAGCTATCATCGGTTTGAAGAAGCTAGTCGCCGGAGGAGACACCCACGAGAAAACGACGTATGAGATCGTTAAACATCCGCAGGTATCTCAAAGTCATACGTACTCTTCTTCCCATTACGGCAGTGATTTCGACAGCACCGGTCCAGGAGGACACTATAGGAGGAGCGTGGAAGATGAGGCAGCAGCCCAAGATAGAGCGTATAGAGCCTACGCTACGAAGCAATAGTGATCGGAGCACTAATATACGATCAGGGCTCAGGACTACAGAATCGGCTCGACTGATAACAGTAAGCGATACACCGAATACATATTTTGGTATTACTCGACAATTACTTATGGCATTTTTCGATTTATTTATAGACGTTATTAGTTTAAAATTATACAATTTCTGAAGTTTATTATTTATAAAATCTTTTGGTTATTTTGTAAATAAGATGTTTATGAAAATAGGGTTGCGTTTGATTATTTATTCGTGTGCACCGTAAATAACATTATTTATAACTCTGTGTTTATTTATATAATATATTTAGGCTAGTCGACGGGTTCTGTGTGCGATTTCTTAAATATACAGTCCGTATGTTCGATTTAATATATGAATAGAATATAAGTTTAGTTTAAGTAATGTAGATGTTTTTTTTCCGATGCTGTCCTCGTTTTTGAATACTTTTGAAGTACCTTTTGTTTAAGATTTATTTTTAGTGCATAATTAATTATGATTTATAAGTACTTATTATTTAGACTCATGTAACCTAAATATTATTTAAGTAAGCGATAACGATGATGATGTTGTAATAGATGATGACATAAAATTGATCAAGTTTATCTAAAAAAAAAAAAAAAACTCCAAAATATTGATTAAATTCGTAATGACTGAATTTTGTATTATTTAGCTTACTTATTACACACTATATTAGCACGTCTGATGCTAAGCGGTTAAAAATTGGAATAACGTTTTTAATCGATTTTTTACAATGGACAAAATCTTCAAAATCAAATTTCATTCAAATACATCGTATAGCTGCTTAATAAATAGACCGATATTCTGATACTGCTTTTATCGTTGCTTTAAAACAATATTGGTCCATTTGCATCAGGTTGGCAAGATAACAGAACTCTTTTTTTTACCTACCTTTGCTGATAGCCCTGAGAGGCTATTTCAGCTTCATCCTAACATGTAGGTGAACTCACGGGGCTCAAACCGGAAGTGTTGCTAGCTCTGGCCCTAGCAAGAGCAGTGCCTCGCAGAATCTACCACCGGATCGGAAACGCGACCCACTGAGAATATCTGGCGAGAAACTCAGTGGGCTGTGTCTGTGGCTTAATTCGCTTGCCGAGCCCTTCGTCAGCGACCGCATCGGCGAGGACGGTGACCACGGCTTGTGGTACCTAAAAGCACCGTTAATTGATCGGGAGGATTCGTAATGATGTGTTTCGGGCATACAACTCGACAAGTGGACGCCGCACTGAATGAACAATTGCCAGCGCGACCAATGCGTTAAGATGTGCCTTGTGTGGCTTAGCAGACACAGACACGAAGGGATTCCGAACCGCTTTGTCACTTGCGATGAAAAAATTGGTTCTTTTTAATACGCTTTTATTAGCTTCAGACGTATGTATGTTAGTATGTATCTTTGTAACGGAATCTTTAAACATGATTATGACCCCCTTGAAAACGTCGAATTAACTCGAAATTTGGTATACTTATTAAGGACCGATGAGAATTCAACATTTAAAAAGGAAAAATATATATTGAAAAATAGAAATCCAACTAAAAAATAGATAATAAATTTTAATAAATTTGAATTAAAAATAGTGTAAGAAAAAATGATTTTATTGTAAAAAAGCGTGGGGTGCTTTTCAGGATATTATCAAAATAACCCTTCTACTCATATCTGTTCATAAAATATTTGTAACTACTGATACCATGCACCCCACGCTTTTTTTTTACAATAAAATCATTTTTCTTACACTATTTTTAATTCAAATTTATTAAATTTTATTTTCTATTTTTTAGTTGGATTTTCTAAAAAAGCGTATTTTGTTAGTTTTTTTTAAACTATTATTTATTATTATATAATAATCGTGAACGGTCATCATGTTGTTAGACCCTGGGTCTTACCAACCTTAGGCAATGTCCCGAATGAAAACACACCCCTAAAAAGTGACGGTCACTGTTTGGTGGTCTAGTGCCGGTATAATACATCACAGCCCCTTACCAAACGGTGCCAGTATTACTACGGATGCGTACTTTGAGGAACTTGACACAGTGATGGAGAAGCTCGCGAATTTAGGAGTCATCTAAAGAATAAGACGCTTGATGTATCAAGTGATGTAACTGTGCAGATATACAAATCCCGCAGAGAGGTACTAATTTTTCTGATGAAATACCTCTGGTAGGACCTCTTGTGAGTCCGCGCGGGTGAGTACCACCGCCCTGCCTATTTCTGCCGTGAAGCAGTAATGCGTTTCGGTTTGAAGGGAGAGGCAGCCGTTGTAACTATACGTGAGACCTTAGAACTTATATCTCAAGGTGGGTGGCGCATTTACGTTGTGGATGTCTATGGGCTTCAGTAATCACTTAACACCAGGTTGGCTGTGAGCTCGTCCACCCATCTAAGCAATAAAAAAAAAACTCATGTCTCAAGGTAGGTGGCGACATTTACGTTGTAGATGTCTATGAGCTTCGGTAACCACTTAATACTAGGTGGGCCGTCTCAGTATAGTTACAATGGCCGCCCCACCCTTCAAACCGAAACGCATTACTGTTAATAAATAAGCAGGGCGGTGGTACCTACCCGTGCGGACTCACAAGAGGTCCTACCACCAGTAATAAAACCAGTCTTTACGCGTTTTAAATTAACTAATGAAAATTATTTTACATTTAAAAAGGAGGACGCTGCTTGCTTTTCCATTCATAAAAACGATCACTTTCAACATCATCAATTATTTACCACGGCAAAATCACATCCATGACAGCATTACTGCAATGCAAAATCTTCTTTATCGTGACTAACAGAAGGCTCGATTTTTTTTCCATTAAAACAACTTATGGTCTTATGGAACTGCGTACTGAACTGTTAGGTGAATCTATTTAACCTAAATACTATATTTATCTAGACCAAACACCGATACAGATGTTAACTGTTGTTATATTTTTTAATCATTACATAGTATAACAATGCCGGCAACGGCGGATCCAGGGGGGGGTCATGGGGGTCATGACCCCCCCTGAGCTAGTTCCAGGACTTGAACTAGCTTGGACTAATTGAAAAACATCTTGATTTACTTATTATCTATTGTTATCAAAATTAAATTATAAGTTCTTAACTTGCCCACGACTATGTGACCCCCTCCTGGCGCCAAAGCTGGATCCGCCCTTGAATGCCGGGAATGGATTCAAAGAGCACGTATTTGTGTTTTGCCTAGAAATTATATACATAATATAATGTGTACTGATTTCCATACGTTGCAGTTAATAATATTCTAGCACGACTTTTTTAGTTTCACCTATATCTATCTATGTAACAAAATCTTTCTATGTAATTTTTGCTGGTTACAACCTTCATCCTGCTTTTTTTTATTACTTAGATGGGTGGACGATCTTCGACGAACTTCGTTCCTATCCGATGTCTCACGGAACCACACATCTTTTTTAATTCAACATCGATATTGTCAATACAAGATAGTCACGCACGCAAATGAAACCCGAACACCGAGCACTGTGTCCGTGCGCTCTCACCAGCATTCTGTAGGAGAAAAACATTGTGCGCCTACCACAAACAAGAAATTTCCCGAAGGCGGGTACCAATTTTTCTAATGAAATATGTACTCAACAAATGTTCACGATTGACTTCCACGGTGAAGGAATAACATCGTGTTATAAAAATCAAACCCGCAAAATTATAATTTAGGATAGGTACCACCGCCCTGCTTATTTCTGCCGTGAAGCAGTAATGCGTTTCGGTTTGAAGGGTGGGGTAGCCGTTGTAACTATACTGAGACTTTAGAACTTGTATCTCAAGGTGGGTGGCGCGTCTACGTTGTAGATGTCTATGGGCTCCAGTAACCACTTAACATCAGGTGGGCTGTGAGCTCGTCCACCCACCTAAGCAATAAAAAAAATAAAAAAAATTGGAAACAGTTTTGAAATATCTAGAGTACTGTATCGACGTTTGTCCAATAAGGTGTTTTTCATTACATCATAACTGGCTTAACCCATAGACACAGCCCACTGAGTTTCCCGCCGGATCTTCTCAGTGGTTCGCGTTTCCGACCCGGTGGTAGATTCTGCGAAGCACTGCTCTTGCTAGGGCCAGTGTTACAACACTCCCGGTTAGAGCCCCGTGAGCTCACTTACCCGTCAAGGAGAAGCTGAAATAGCCTCTCAAGGCTCTCAGCTTAGGTAAGAAAAAAAAAAACTGTATTTAACGGTAGGCTTGGTTCTGCCCCTGACATTGCTGAAGTCCATTAGAGGATGTTAATATCAGGTGGATTGAATGCTCGTCTGCCTACAAGGGCAATAAAGAAAAAGAAAAAAAGTATTATCGCGATTACTTTGGTTTAAAAAAATGTATTTTAGAAGCTATTAATTTTTATTTAATAACTAGCTGACCCGGCAGACTTTGCAGTGTCTCAATCGATGAATAAAAGACCTAAGCTTTTGTATAAAATAAACTTAAAACAAACAAAAGGAATCCGTCCGACGGGGAGGGACATCAAAGGAAAAACAAAATGGTTATTTTTATTTAATTCCGAGCATTTTCATATTTATTTACCTTTTAAACCTTCTCTGGACTTCCACAAATAATTCAAGACCAAAATTAGCCAAATCGGTCCAGCCGTTCTCGAGTTTTAGCGAGACTAACGAACAGCAATTCATTTTTATATATAGATAGATGTTGCATCGTTACATATTTTAACAAACGTATGTGCTTAGCTTATTCAATGAATATTGTCTTGAATTTATCAGCAAAGAAGTGATTCATTTCGGGTCAATGTGTAGGAAACCATTTTTTACACATTGACACGTGTTTTTAGCGTAAAATAAAAACATTAATTAGATTTCCGCTCCGTAGATTCCTCTTCATCGAAGACTGAAATATACTTCAGATTCCAAAACTTCTGGTATTGGACCACATCATCTTGTATTGTGTGATTAATACGCAGTTAGTTGACAATTAGACCGTGTGACCACGACCGATGCAGGATCCACGCAGCGCGCGGAAACAAGGGGGAAATCGTTAATTAGTGTAGTCAAAGAAAGTTTCATTACCGATGAAATATATAGGAGGTAGTTAGTTCCGTGTGTGCTCTGATCTGATGACGTCAACGGTTTTTTTTGTTATTGCTTAGATGGGTGGAAGAGCTCACAGCCCACCTGGTGTTAAGTGGTTACTGGAGCCCATAGACATTTACGACGTAAATGCGCCAACCACCTTGAGATATAAGTTCTAAGGTCTCAGTATAGCTACAACGGCTGCCCCACCCTTCTAACCGAAGCGCATTACTGCTTCACGGCAGAAATAAGCAGGGTGGTGGTACCTACCCGCGCGAACTCACAAAAGGTCCTGCCATCAGTACTCGTTTTTTTTTAATTGCAAATTATTTTTTTTTTTTTATTATTTTTTTATTGCTTAGATGGATGGACGAGCTCACAGCCCACCTGGTGTTAAGTGGTTACTGGAGCCCATAGACATCTACAACGTAAATGCGCCACCCACCTCGAGATATAAGTTCTAAGGTCTCAGTATAGCTACAACGGCTGCCCCACCCTTCTAACCGAAGCGCATTACTGCTTCACGGCAGAAATAGGCAGGGTGGTGGTAGCTACCCGTGCGGACTTACAAGAGGTCCTGCCACCAGTACTCGGTTTTTTTTTATTGTAAATTAGTTTGAAACCAATGTAAATGTCATGCCCCAATGGACATAGCTACTGCAATACTGGAGGCATCTGTAGCGCTTGAAGAGCGACAATTGACAAGTTGACCACTGTTATAGTTTGAAAAAGGAGATTCATAGAGGAGTTATTAAACTACAATTAGTTTGTGGGATTAAAGAAAAATAATTAATATTTCGATCTTTATTGAGAAACATCAAAGCATTGCGTAAACATTTTTTTTGTAATTGTTGACTAGATGATAAAAACCAAACAAATGCTAACAAAATAATCAACACACGGAATTTGGTTTAGCTATCGTGTTCCAATTAAAATACACAATGTTTTCTTCAAAGTCAAGTGAAAAATTTGTGTAACAGCGCCACCTCTTATCGATTTTCCAAAAAAATTACAAGACTAACTCTTATTACGAGCTGTCTTTAATATACATAATAATATACTTTTTTTATTTTATCTCTCTTCGATCGGTCACTCACTGCTGAGGATCGTGACTCCGTCCGATTCCGTTAACTAGCTGTCTCCATCGATCCCGCCCTGCAGCCCGGTGGAGTGCGTCGCTGACAGGTATCCCCAGTTCCTCCGCTATTTGGTCCGACCATCGTTTGGGACCTTTACCCTTAGGCCTTTTTCCCTCTATTTTACCAGTCACCACAAGGCGTTCCAAATTGCTGGTATCCCTGCTTGCAATGACCAAAATACCGCAATATTCTTTGTCGGCAGGTTGTGGATAGATTTATTTTATAGATATAGATTTGTTTTTATTTTATAATTAAAATTAATTATTAAGGACCAAAGATGTAAATATTGATTAGCCAGCGTTAATAGGAGTCCAGACAAAGTTTCTAGCGTTTCTGTCGTCTCTAGATGACTCCACTTCTTTTTTCGTAACAAATAGTCTCTCTAGTCTATCTCTTAGTTCATCAGGAGTTATCGGTGATGCTGTAGTGGTTTCTGCCGATTTCTCCCTATAATAATACTCGTGGTGTGGTCTGGTGTAGTAGCCTGGAAAATTAAAAGTGGTAAACGTGAGCATTCGCGTCCGTTCATATTACAATGCGTACTGTTAGCCAAGCCGTGGCCTTTGAATGACACTCATGAGCCTTCTGGCAGCCCATCTGGAGTAAAGCAAAATAAACCCATAGACAAAACAAATAAAATATAAATACATAACAATTAAATGCCCACTGAATTGTCTAAGACAATAAATGATATAAATATTTCATTAATAAAAAAAAATGGCACTATTATGGACGATTACGCGAATATTATCAAATGCTGCGAAAGAAAAACTGGAGATAATGTAAAGGGTTACGAAAGAAGACGCGTATATTATAGTAGGATGGTTCGATATGGGATTACCAAGCGAGAGGGGCCTTACCAGATTTGACACTAAACTATCCCGCCTATATACCAGAATGTGTAGGCAGAAGACTAGTAGCTTTGTTCTATCCCAAAATAACAGATGTCGCTAGGGATTTTAATCGGTATCTGCACCAAACTAAACATGTCTTTAAAAGCAATGCCAAGCTATACCATGTTTTGGAAATAATACTTACAGCATACAATTAATTGTTATCGTAATTAAAATAAAATTCATCTCTCGATGCTTTCGTTATGTAACATCTACAAGAGGTCAATGCACCTGTTTTAAAAAATTAGAAATCGATAATAATGTAACGAGTTATTCGGCTGTCTCGCTGGATCAGAGTAGTAAGTGAGCATGAACCATGATATCTGAGCTAGATTTAAGTTGACTCTCATATGTAGGTATGATTTTGGCACAATATCCTAGGTTAGATTCATTATAGTCCGTTCCCATGTAAACGATTTAAATTGATTAATTTAAAAAATCTCAGTTACATCTTAAACATTCTTTTTTTTATTTTCCTAATAAATTTTACATACGACGCGGGAAAAGAAATGACAACTTTTAAAAATGAAACAAGAAAGCAAACAGTGTTGCTTAGCCGGAATATTAATCATTTTTTGAGTTTATTACACCATCCAACCGGCCACTGATGTGACCTATTGCGGTTGAAGTCAACTCTTGGACTTGGTGGTAAGGTATGCTGGGGTCTATTGACATTAAAATTGTTTCTGCAACTACTACCCTGAGACTTGAATCAATGTTTCAGTTATTGTACAATTATTCTTACATATTCTATTATTATCCAGCCATCGTACCCTACAGACGCGAAATAGCAGTTGGGGCAGAAATAGGCAGACTACTGGAGATCATGAGTGTCATCTGCAAAAGCGACCTACGATCAGTGTTGGGTTGTGGTAAATGAGAGTGGACTGTATTTATTGGTGATATCTTTATTAGCCCTTATGTGACAAATTAAAGATATATGAATATATGAAATATGAAATCGATGTTTAACCCTTGGCGGCTGGAATTGAAAAGGAAAAAGTGTCATAGCGGACGTCGTACGTTGACACTTTTGCCGTTCCGAAATCAAACAATCAGTAAATTAGTGTAAAAATGGAGGACAGGTGAATGTGGTAGCAACAGCTAGACGTGGCTAAGGTCTTTTTATTATTTAGATGAGTGGACGAGCTCGCGGCCCACCTAATGTTAAGTGATAACGGGAGCTTATAGACATCAGCAACGTAAATACAGCCTCAATCTCGTAGTGGCATGCTTGTTCTCCTTACCTTCTTTTTTATCATCAACTTCATTCTCCTGCCCTTCTCTCAGTCACCTGGGGTTCATCATATACCATATCTTCGCTCACTCCCCTCTTAAATATACCGTCTTTCACGCAATCCATCCATTTCGTCTTAGATCTACTTCTTCCTCTAAAACCTTCTTTTTTAATATCTTTATAAATATTACTCTACTCACCTCCAGAACTGTGATGGTCGTGATGATAGACAGGATGGTCGTAAGACGTGTAAGAAGATGAAACTGGACTGAACGCTCCGAATGATTGTCCGAAGCCCGACCCACTGAATACCGTGACAGCCAGTAGTGCCAACTTAGCTATTAGGAAGGCTTTTTTGCTGGCAAGCAATACAAGACCCAATAACAGAGGGAGTAAAGTTGATAGTTGAAATTTGAAACCCAATAGGAATGGTACCAGTAAATTTCTCGCCAAAAGTCGACCTAAAAAGAGAGATGATTTTAAAAAGGGAGTTTTATTAGATTAATAAGTTTACAGCTACACCTAAATAAATGATCGACATGATTAAAAATAATTAAAACAGTTTTTTATCCATATACGTTTTTCACTAGTAGTAGAAGAATTATAATTTGCGTAATTACTGGTGGTAAGACCTTTTCTGAGTCCGCACGGGTAGGTACCACCACCCTGCCTATTTCTGCTGTGAAGCAGTAATGTGTTTCAGTTTGAAGGGTGGAGCAGCCGTTATACGGTAAATAATGAGACATAGAACTCATATCTCAATCTGGGCGGCGGCATTATTGCGGTTAATGTATAATATGTGATCCGGTGACCACTTAGTACCAAGCGGTACGTGAGCTCGTCCACCCATTTTAGCAATATAAAACAAAAAGTTAGTACTACTAACTAACATATCAGTTATTGACTATATACAGTCTGTGGTCAAATTGAGAATAGATTAATGTTGTTTGTTTTTAATATTATTATTTAGTGTAGCCTTGGCGAAATCTGTGATTATAGAAGTATAATATTTGACAATAGGACCTTAAATAATATTCAAATTTATTATTTAAATTAATTATGGTCGAGTTTCGACCACTGGGCGATCACTAGTTTATTTACGTGACAAAAACGCGATGGCGATGTCGAGACCCTGCCCGTGTTCCTATGTGGTACACAGTAAGATAACATGGTGCACACTGTAACCTTATAGGAAGGAAAATACCTCCATTCTTTATGTTTCTGCTGTGAAGCAGTAATTTAATTAACGTTTGAGGGTGTGCTGTTAAAATAGTACTCAAATGTTTTCTCTTTGCCTATTTATAAACAGATAATTAACTTAAAAATCATCAGCAAGTGAAAAAGCGATAGACATATTTATTCATCACTAGCTGACACGGCAGACTTCGTAGTGAATCAATCGATTCATAAAAGACACATCAAGGGGATACATCTAAGGAAAAACAAAATTGTTTGTTTTTTATAAAATTCCGAGCATTTTCATATTTTTTCACCTTTTAAACCTTCCCTGGACTTCCAATAATTCAAGACCAAAATTAGCCAAATCGGTCTAGCCGTCCTCGAGTTTGAGCGAGACTAACGAACAGCAATTCATTTTTAATACTTAACCCATCTGACAAAATCATCTCAGATCTTATTGATGAAAAGTAATGAAAAATAAAAACGAACTCAAAGGTATCGAATTGGTTTTAATTTCAATAAAACTTGTCTAAAATCTCCGTTCATTATCGACGATATTACGTGGACGGAATAAAAGAAAAAAATAAACTTAGACCACGTCATGATCACAGATGGCGCCCTAGATCAAGTTCAATGGCACAACGAGACCTTGGATTTTGTAAACAAACATAGTTCCAAAGTCATATCATAAAGGCGCTAAACTAAACTTTTATCTGTCTAGGCATTATGTACCGATACTAAACTGAAAAAACAGGTTCGTGGTCATTGTATTGAAGACACGACTGTCTCATTTAAGAGTTTATTCGCAAAAACTCATCTTCATCAATCATCATACAGACAAAGTCATCTTTAATTCACACATCGTCAAAACATTTACCTGTGGACAATTCCCCTTGGGCTTGATGCTGATACGCTCGATCCTTGACCCTCGGATCCATAACAAACTCCAATACACCATTAGCCAATGTTGGTCCAATCCTCATCACCAGTCCAGGGTACATGGCACTCAAGTCCCAATGGAGAGATCTTTTGGAGATGAGATTACTGGCATCCTCCATTATCGACCTGTACATTAAGCTTCTAATTAAAAGGCCTAACATTATTGACAGATCACAGAGACAGATCGTCAGATGAAATCTAATCAGGGGCAATTTAAAAAAAAAATAGTTTAAAAAAACTAACAAAATACGCTTTTATAGAAAATCCAACTAAATTATGATTTTATTGTAAAAAAAGCATGGGGTGCATGGTATCAGTAGCTATAAATATTTTATGAACAGATAGATGAGTAGAAGGGTTATTTTGATAATATCCTGGAAAGCAACCCACGCTTTTTTTTACAATAAACACATTTTTTCTTAGACTATTTTTAATTCAAACTTATAAAAAAATATTTTCTGTTTTAAGTTGGATTTTCTATAAAAGCGTATTTTGTTAGTTTTTTTAAACTATTGTTTATTTTTCATTTTTTAGTTGAATTTATATTTTGCAATATTTTTTTTCAATTTTGTTTTTAATATTGAATCGTCATCCGTCCTTAATAAGTATACCAAATTTCGAGTTAATCCGACGTTTTGAAGGGGTTCAAAATAATGTTCAAAGATTCCGTTACAAACATACATACGTCTGAAGCTAATAAAAGCGTATTAATATGAAAAAAAACCGCCGCCATAAGTTTCACTCACAATAAGAACTTTAAAATATTTTTGAAAATGTTACATACTCTTTACTTTAAACTTTTCGAATTAGGGTTTTTTCTCTACCTGTTCGCTGGTAGTCTAAGAGGCTATTCCAGCTGCGCCCATACGGGTGGGTGAGCTCCCGGGCTCAACCTGAGTGAATTTGCTAACACTAGCCCTAGCAAGAGCAGTGCTTGGCAGAATCTACCACCGGATCGTAATCACGACCCACCGAGAAGATCCAGCGAGAAACTGAGTAGGCTGTGTCTATGGGTTAGGGTATTAGGTCTGCGAGATGATCTCCAGGCATACATTCGCTCACTTCTGCCCTTTGAACGGGTTGGTTTGTATTCAGTCTTCCGTGTCCATAAAAACTAGGCTTTTATATCGAAATTTTTTAATCTTATCGAAACCTTTTATTTCATCTCTTTGTAACATTCTAGCATCGAAATGTAATACCGCTACAGAAAATATCCAACTAATAAGCGAAATTAATATTCTACTCTTAAAATGCACTAGGGACAAATTCAAATAAAAACAAAGGAACAAATTCATAAAGAAAGAGCTTAGACCCGCTGAGTCATAAATACCTGAAATCCATTGGATCTTTATCCAAAAAAGTTCCAATATCCCTCGGAGTTTTCTCATCTCTTACCAAAGCCACACCAGTGGCAAGACTAAAAGTATCCGAATCTTCATATTCGTTCAGTCTATTTATCAATTCTTTGCCAAAACAAACTCCGACTTCTGTACCTCGTCTGTCATTCAAACACTCATTTAACTTCGAGCCCTGCACAACATTCTCATTAATCTCCTCTCCTTCTTGAAGAGATAATTGAATAGGGATAACACCAGCCACAAAACACAGCAACAACACTAATCTTAAAGACATATTCAAATATTCCAACACTGAAGATTTTCAAAACACTCTACATAGTAAAATTCTTGAAGAGTTTTAAGGAGCAACTGATTGCAGTGCTCCGAATGTTGCGTATAGTAGAATTGAAGCACTTCTTCGTTGGTTTTATAGATTTTCCTGGTTATGTTTCGTTGAACGCGGTCATTGTTTTCGCGAGGAACAAAGTGCTCAACGATGCCTCCCACGGAATACAATGGAGTGAAAATTCGATGTAAATTCACTATCTGTCCCATCTCTAATTAGCTGTGGCGGCAAGTTGCATAATATTCTGCGTCTCGTCTAAATAATTTTCGGAAGTATTCTCAGATTACACAACCGCATGTGGCTTCGACCGTGGCGAATCATGTGGGATGGCAGTTCGTTATCTAACTGAGTATGAATGATGGATGAAGACTACCATACGTACAAGATTATAGCGAACTATTAAGGCTGCAACGTGCCGACGATCTAAAGCTTGAATCGTATCGCTAAATTGGAGTATGTGGACAGGAACAAAAATATTATAAATTCTTTAAAAGAGGCTTGTGGAGGGTATTTAGCGGTAGGCAGCGGCTTGGCTCTGCCCCTGGCATTGCTGAAGTCCATGGGCGACGGTAACCACTCACTATCAGGTGGGCCGTATGCTCGTCTGCCTGCAAGGGCAATAAAAAAAAAAAAGGAATGCTGAGAACATGGCACGCAAAATAAACCCACATAATTGTAACATTTTTTTTTTTTTTATGAAGTCTTTGAGATCTAAAAGAAAATTCGATAAAATAATTACATGAAAGAAAACAAAATCTTATGTAGACTTAAGCGTACTATTTTAATGAACTGTAATATCAATTTGTAAATGTGTGTTTTCAGTCATGTATAACTTAAGTTTACCGTTGTATATGAATTATATGCGATATATACTAGTCAAATTATGTTTTAGTAATATGAAAAAGTAGATTAAAAGGCTTGCTCTACTAGTGAATTAGGTTCTACAAGTGATAAATTCACTTTAACACACTTTGCCTTAACATAGTCTGATCCCACTAATGAACCAAAATATACTTGCAAAACACGTTCAGACCATAAACATTTTCTAGTCTGCACTAATCATTGACATAAATTATAATATTCGTGTTATAACTTTTACTTTTGAATTCCACAAGCTTATCTAGAGACCGACCATATTGGATAATAAAAAGCACAAGCCAAGCCTTTGACCTGTAGATTGTCTTACAACCTGTTAGTAAACAATCACCAGCAAAGCCGTAACTCTCAGCAAATAACACAAAAAACGCTGCTCTATTACATTTAAGTTAAGACTGAAAACTGCTTGAGGTAATCTTGGCGTTTTCCTCTTTTGAGATTTTAGTATAAGTGAAAGTCCTTTTTTTGCTTTGCGTCCGGTCGTGTGGTAAAAGTTTTGGTATGATGTAATAGATTCTTACAATGGCAAGTCATGAGGTATATAATATACTTAATTTTTATTAACCATAATTTGGATTGGGTTGGAGCTGTTATTTTAACGATTTATGGGAGAATTTATAACGTTGTGCTATCAGCTTTTTAAATATGCGGTTTAGTTCTCTCGAACTTTCTTTGGGGATATTTAATGGATTGATTATCTTACTCTAATACGGGATATTATCTCTTGTTTATGCTCGTAAGTACCACAATTATTGATCAAAGAATTCGATTCTGGATATCTTAAATATTTTACTAATATTATTCACTTACGTGTATGAATATGGTCCTTTGGACCCGAAATTCGGAAACTGGCTAATTGTACTTTGTAGTAGGACTTTTTGTGGCCTGTTTTTGGAATGCAAATAAATATTTGGATGCCAATAACGATCGAAGTATTCGGGACTGTATCGATTGAGTTCTGTATCTATATCTAGGATATCAAATCTACAGAATTAATAAATATTTGGGGTCGGCACAACATATTATGCTGTTTCTCCATTCAGATCTGTCATACTTCAATTCTGTACTCACATCCTTCTCTCGCGAATCCTCAATCACACAGTTCATCATACTCAGTCTTAATAGGATGCTCCTACTACTCACATTACAGTCTACTTTCATATCCGGGGTCTTTTTGGCCACATAATACCACGAAAACATTCTACTCGATATTTTCTCTGTCATGACGCAACTGTCAGACTTCCCATTGTTTAAATTTATTAATAAGTGAAGCAAAAACTTTGTAGGTACCCCTTTTTACGAAAATTGCGCGTACGGAGGAGTATGAAATTTTCCACACTTATAGAGAATATAGAGGAGTGCAGAATGTAATTTTTGTAAAATATGTATAATAAATACATTAAATCAATAAATAAAAACATTACACACACTACCATACTATTTGTTTATTGTCAAACCTTTCTTATTGCTTATAGACTGTGGTCAAATTGACAATAGATTAATAATTTGTCTTAAAGAATAAAGACAATAGTTTGTCTTTATTAATATTTGTCTAAAGTGTAGTCTTGACGAAATCTGTGATTATACTCGTAGAAGTATAATAGTCTTTGACAATAGAATCATAATAGTGTACACACTTATTATAATTTCAATTAATAATTAGACGAATTTCGACTACCGGGGGACCATTAGTATTATATATAAATATGCATCAACAATGTTTAATTTGGAATCGTCTTAATCCTGTAGTAAATCTACGAATTTTATTTTAAGTTGAAACAGTTTACTTTTTATCTTTTCGATGGGATGTACTAGGATAAACACGTGGATAGCTTATAATACCATTGTACTTTTCATTTCATTATCTTTCATAAGTCAGTTATAAGAATTAAGAACATTTTTATTTTAAATACGGTATCTATTTTTACATTTTCACACACCGACAAATATTAGTTTATCAGTTCAATATAACGAAGGCAAAACATACGACAGTAAAAATCTACATACTTAGAAATTTTTGAGAAAAAGAAAAACTATATAAAAGAGGGAATTTCTATTTTTTGTCTTAACTGTTGTTGGTTTTTATTGTAGTGTTTATGCTTCACTCGGCGAGGCTAAAAGAAAGAGCAGTGGTATATCTTTTAGAAGCATATTCTTCAAATTTCACGGCACCCACATTTATTTTGACGCTTAGCATTCAGATCACAGGGTCAGTCAAGAGCACGCACTTGTATGAGACCTCGTTTGCTAGTGTGTGCCCGTTTGTTAGTCACAGCTTTCGCCTTTGTAGCCCGAGGGCTGCCTGCTATATCTCAACGGCTTTACGTAACCCCTCCCATAACGCTAAAAAAATTCAATCAATTTTTTCTAATTTTGACATCAAAATCATTGACGATAAGAACGATAATCGTTTGTTGGTCTTTTTTTCTTTTGGTATCTTGGAAGTTCGTACGCCTTGATGTGTGAATGATTTCTTGTTATTTGCGTCTTATTGACCAGGAATAGCGGCTAAAGTCGCTTGTTTATGTCACTTGAGAAACAGGTATTATTGCCTTGTCTGTAACATGTGACGGGCTAAGTTAAACGTGCACTTCAAAAACCTGGTCCATTGATTTCTATCGCCTTATTCGAAGGGAATACGGTCGTGAATTGCTTAAATAGAAAATTGAGGGTATTATGATATATGTGGTTGTTTTAGCGAAGGAAAAGCGTCGGATGTAAACCGGACGCAGGAACGCAAAGAGAAATTTATTTCGACTTGTTTTTTTTTTTTTCTCCGTCGTATTTAGGAAAAGGATGTCATGATGACCCTACTTTTGGGTGATGATGTAAAATCTTCAACGTAACGTTTTCGGAATGCGGCTGTACTGGACGAGACGTGTCCTAAATAAGTCGCCTGAGGAATATTGCGATACTCCTGATATTTTTTTTGGAACGAAGTTCCTTATGGGTCGATGCGGAGGGGTACCCTAACCGGGAAAAAGCGTCCGTAACGTAAGATTTTTATTATTTATATTATGTATAGTCTTAGTATGATGGCACTAAGTACAACATACAGTGTCTTATGTACAGTCTACGTGATGACGGTTATTATTATTTTTATTCATATAAATAGCTGTTTCTTTGTATATCTTTGTATATTATTATTATATATTTTTTAAAAATCATTGTGAATAAAATAAAGTTGATAACTTTGTAAAGTAGTTTATTTTTTATTTTTATCAATTAAAAAATCATAGTAAAAAATGTATACCCGAATAATTATTTCCTTTATATCTCGAATAGAACTTAAAATTAATATTTTTGTAATAAGGAACTTCGTTCCTATCCGGTGTCCCACGACATCACACATCTTTTTTTGAGATAAATCCTATGCGATTTTTTTGCTTTCCCATCAATTGCTGACTTACATAGGGGCTAGACGAGAAGTGATTTCTTCGGTAACAGCTAAGCCCCTGTATCCTGGTTTGACTAGTTTTTAGTTTAAAGGTTGGTTTAGCTAACAGGGAGGGGTCATTTTACACATCTCAAGATGAACGGCTGCTTTGACGTTCTGATTTCCTTTCCGGTAGCCACTTAATGGCGGCTCGACCGTGAGCTTGTCTGTGCATTTAAATTCTTTACTTTCATTAATTTTCCGCGCGAAAAAACACGCTCGAGTTGTCATTTAGGCCTCATTAGCGCAAGGAAGCATTTATACGTTCCGACTTGAAGGCCACGCCTTGCCGTGGACTTGTCGACTGTGTCTGAGTTACTTACCTTGATATGATAGAGTCCGGGGGATAAGAGAGACAAGAGAAGCTTTTTTGTTTATTGCTTAGATGAGTGGACGATCTTACAGCCCACCTGGTGTCGAGTGGTTACTGGAGCCCATAGATGCGCCACGCACCTTGAGATATAGGTTCTAAGGTCTCAGTATAGTTACAACGGCTGCCCCACCCTTCAAGCCGAAACAGGCAGGGTGGTGGTATCTACCCGTGCGCACTCACAAGAGTCCTCGCACCGTTTCGACTTGAAGGCCACGCCTTTCAGTGGGCTTGTCGACTGTGTCTGAGTTTCTTACCTTGATATGA